TTTTTTTTTTTTTTAGAGACAGAGTCACTTTGTCACCCATGGTAGAGTGTTGTGTGGAGTCACAGCTCACAGCAACCTCTTGAGGAGCAACAGCAGCTCTTGGGCTTAGGGGATTCTCTTACCTCAACCTCCCTAGCAGCTGGGTCTACAGGCACTTGCCACAATGCCCGGTTATTTTTTATTGCAGTTGTCATTGTTGTTTTAGCTGGCCCAGGCCGGGTTTGAACCCACCAACCTCTGTGTATGTAGCTGGCAACGTAACCACTGTGCTATGGGGGCCAAGCCTCCAGTTCCTTTTAAAACTCATCAGCTAATCCAGCTGGGAGGAGACTCAATACTCATGGAGTCCAATTCTCTTCCTTCAGAGGAGAGGTGAAATGTGATTAAGATGGCAGAAGATCAGGGATTAAACTCCAAACCTCATATGTCAAGTTGAAGACATGTTCCAGGGCACCAACCTCCCTAGCTCTTAGAAGGTACTACAATTCTTTTGCCAAGGAAAGACTATTTATTTTATAAGGTCAGCCACACTGTTAGAGAAACACAAACAGAAACCTGCCTGGTATTTGTCCAGTGAAGTCTGGCTTGTGGAGCATTTTCACATCCTGGGATCTTTCTGAAGACGCCTATCAACTTTAGAAGGCACCAAGTCTTGTACCCTTTGCTGCTTCTCCCTAGTATCTTCTCAAAACAGAATTGGGACAGGGTGAAGGCCAGCTTCTGCGCTGATGGGGCAGCTCTGCCTCCTGGCCATATGCAAGCTGAGAGCAGCCCTTCCCAGGGGCTGCAGCTGGTCCTCTGTGAATGCAGCCTGGGCTGCACATGCTCGGGGCCCTTGTTGGCTCTTTCTTCCATTTAAAGGAGCCTGCAGGCTAGGGTCCAGAAGAAGATCTCATTAAGAATACGAAACATATGCCTCACTACTCTTTTGTTGCTATCAAGAAAACCAAAAAAGGCTCGGCGCCTATAGCTCAACGGGCTAAGGCGCCAGCCACGTACACCTAAGGTGGTGGGTTCGAATCCCCAGCCCGGACCCGCCAAAACAACAATGACGGCTGCAGCCAAAAAACAGCCGGGCGTTGTGGCAGGCGCCTGTAGTCCCAGCTACTTGGGAGGCGGAGGCAGGAGACTCGCTTGAGCCCAGGAGTTGGAGGTTGCTGTGAGCTGTAATGCCACAGCACTCTACTCAGGGGGACAGCTTGAGGCTCTGTCTCAAAAAAAAAAAAAAAAAAAACCAAAAAAAATTATCATCAGCAGTTTCCTGGAAGTAGACAAATATAGTGCCAGAGTTGAGAATGCAAGAGAAATCACCAGTTTAAAAAATTACAAAATCCAAATTTAAAGAGACTATAAAGTTTCAAGCTGAGTTGGTTAGCTGGCTACTTTTGAATGACTCCTCTTTCCCTTCTCTCTGCTCTAAAGTTTGGAAATGTTATTGCTGAGACACATCCTCCAAATATTAGCAGTATTTTTGTGGGACTAGTGATGTATTATAATAGAAATTAGAACTTAAAAGATTTTGAGGGGCAGTGCCTGTGGCTCAAAGGAGTAGGGCACTGGCCCCATATGCCAAGGTGGTGGGTTCAAACCTAGCCCGAGCCAAAAACTGAAGAAAAAAAAAAAGAAAGAAAAAGGATTTTGAGGTTAGGATTTCTAATTGAACTTTTATTTTTTTTACATTTAATGCCAAAGGCTATCTCCTTGCATCCAGATAGCTGGGCCATCCAGTTCAGGTGAGTTTCTCCTTTTTTAACACCAGGGACAAGGTAATACCTACAGAAAGCCTCTTCCATGCAGGATTATTGCCTCAGGTGCTGTGAGTGCTATTGGCTAATAAATAGCCTTCAGCCATCTGCCCCTTCAAAGACTGTCTAATTTATAGAGCTTAACCTCTTTCAAAGTCACGGTTGGCCGTATCCAATGACTAAAAATGTAAAAAATACAGGCCTGGTCCCTCAGCCCAACTTGGGAAAATTCTGAAGGGCTATTTTCACTCCAGAACTTCCTTTTAGGGAGCCAAGGCTGCTGTTGGGACTGCATCACAATTTTATTTCTCCCTCTGTCAGTTCCTGCTTCCTTCCCCTTCCTTCACAGGAGTTATTCCAAGGGCACTTCCTAATAAACATCCTGTACATTAAACTCTCCCTCAGAGTCTGCTTCCTGGAGAAAATGACATGAGATATAAACTATGTCCATTAAAATAATTTTAAAACATTTTATTTTTTATAGCAATTTAAGTTCACAGCAAAATTAAGCAGAAAGTACAGAGATTTCCCATACATACCCTACTCCCACATGGCCACAGACTCCCTTACTATCAAAATCCTGCACCAAGGATGCGCTGGCTTGGGTAGACTGGTGTTGGGGTGAGCTCCCCAGAGGTTGATGACAGTGCTAAAGGCCGAGATCCTCTTTGTGGGGTCCTGTGAAGAGGTGGAAATAGTGAAAAACCTGTTTTGGCTAACTTTCTTTCTTTCTTTTTTTTTGAGACAAGAGTCTCACTGTGTTGCCCTGGGTAGAGTGCTATGACGTCACAGCTCACAGCAACCTCAAACTCTTGGGCTTAAGTGATTCTCTTACCTCAGCCTTCCAAGTAGCTGGGACTATAGGCACAGCTGTTTTGGGTTGCAGTTATCATTGTTGTTTGGCAGGCCTGGGCTGGATTTGAACCCGCCATCTCCAGTGTATGTGGCTGGCACCCTAGCTGCTGAGCTACAGGCTCTGAGCCTTGGCTAACTTTCTGACATAATCTTTTGATATCACTGAATACAACCCAACACAAGGAGTGAGGATTCTGGAATTTGAGAACCCACATGTTACCAGCAACAGCAAAGGCACAGGGTATGAATATGAACTATGGGACTGCAGCAGGGTTACAAAGTTCAGGTTCAAGTCCTACTGGCCATCCTTGATGAAGGACACCCATGGAGTGGGGATCATCTTCAATGCCAATCTCAACCTTCCTAATGCCGCGACCCTTTAGTAAGGTTCCCATTTTCGTTGCTATAATTTTATGGTTGGGGGTCACCACAACACGAGGAACTGTATTAAAAGGTCACGGTATTAGGAAGGTTGAGAACCTCTGTACCAGAAGAAAATAGAAATGTGCTTTTCCTGCTTTGTCCAGCAGCAGTTATGGGATACTCAGGGTCAACTGCATATCACTGGAGGTGATAAAGGAAGACTATCTTTGTCACTACCCTTGAATAAGCTGAAGCTGATGCACTTGAATCTTGAGGATGACCCCGAGGAGATCTGGGTGGAATTCACGAAGTATTTAAAAATCATAATCAACTCCATGTCTGAAAGCAGAGACAGGTAGATGTCAATTATTACCTAACTGGCCTTCAACTGAAATTCCCACATCCAAATGAAATCAACATCTTTCCCAATGCCCATCTGAAATCAAATTCTGTTATTGATGTTTTCTTCTCCCTGTGGCTATAGAAGAAACTTTCCTGTCCCCTAAAAGCTACCAGTAAGCGAGGGAGATGACTTATACAATCTATGCTCTATCCTTAATTCAATTGAGAAAAATCCTATTATTGGATTCTGAATTCCTGACTCCAGACCATTCCAAAGCTGGAAATTTGAGGATTTTCTTTTTCTCATTCATGTGTAAATAAAATTTGTGCAATAATCATAGTGCAATGATGCAACAATAGTTTAATCCATGTGTATTAGTTTGAATGCGATTTTCATTCTTTGATTTACTAAACAAATACCAACTGGTTGAGCATCTGCTGTGTTGCAGCATAGTTCTGACTGCTGACCACATGTAGCATGAATGAGAAAGACAAAAATCCCTTACCTCATGGAGTTTCCATTCTATTTTTCTAACTAATAGTAAGGTAGAGACAAAGACTTAACTACTACATCCTGGATATGCAAAAGAATAAAAAAAAATTCTACATTTTCTATAACTGGTCTTAATCTCTTATGTTCCCCTTCGGGGGACCAGGGGTACTTAACAACGCTAAATGAAGGTAGAGTTGATCCTTATTCGTGGATTTTGTATTTGGGAATTTACCTACTCACTAAAATTTGTTTGTAACTCCCAAATCAATGCTATGGTACTTTCTCAGTTATTTAGAGACTAGAGTTTTTTTTGCATAGAGTAGCAAAAAACTTGAATTGCCCAATGCATACATTCCCAGATGAAGTCAAACAAGAGATGTTCTGCCTTCTTGTTTCAGCTCTCATTCTGTAAATGAATGTCTTTTTCATGGTCCACTTTGTGTCACATTTTCACATTTTTATGTTTTTCTTTGTGATTTTGTTGTTTAAAATGGCCCCTAAGCATAAGGCTGAAGGCCTGACTATTGTCCATAGGTACAAGTGCCTTATGGAGAAAGTATGTGTTTTATTTATTTATTTTTATTTCACATATGATAGGTTATATTTTTCACATTTGTTAGGGAGTGTCCAAGTTGTAGTTGAATTCTTTACCTAGGAGGTGTGCCATATACCCCTACATTGTACTTGTTAGGTGAGAGGTCACTAAGCCTCCCAACTCTCTCCCCCTACTGAAAAATAATTGTGGTTTTCTCTCATGTGGGCCTATAGTTGTTCATCTGCTAGTTTCAAGGGAAAATATGTGTTTTAGATAAGCTTCATTCAAGTGTGAGTAACAGTGCTGCTATTGGCCATGAGTTCAAAATTAAAGAATCAGAATATATTAAATAAAATGTCTTGGCTCGGCGCCTATAGCTCAACGGGCTAAGGCGCCAGCCACGTACACCTAAGGTGGCGGGTTCGAATCCCCAGCCCGGACCCGCCAAACAACAATGACGGCTGCAACCAAAAAATAGCCGGGCGTTGTGGCGGGCGCCTGTGGTCCCAGCTACTTGGGAGGCGGAGGCAGGAGACTCACTTGAGCCCAGGAGTTGGAGGTTGCTGTGAGCTGTAATGCCACGGCACTCTACCCAGGGGGACAGCTTGAGGCTCTGTCTTCAAAAAAAAAAAAAAAAAAAAAAGTCTTTAAAAAAAAAAAACTCCTGCACCAAAGTGGTACATTTGTTACAATTGATGAACTTACATTGACAGTCATGTCAATTAAAAGTTCAGAGTTTACTTTAAGGTTCTTCCTTGGTGTTTGTTATATATCCTATGGGTTTTGACCAATATGTAATGTAATGTATCCAACATTTATAGTATCATACAGAGTAGTTTCACTGCCCTAAAAATTCTCTGTGCTCTGCCTATTCATCTCTCCCCAAGTTTCCAATCCCAGCAACCACAGATTCTTTTACTGTTTGTATAGTACTGCCTTTTCTAGAATGTTATGTAGTTAGAAGCATACAGCATTGCTTTGGCCCCTAAGCATAATACCCCAGAAGCATTGGCATCTTCCAAGTATGCATTTAAAGTTCCTTCATGTCTTTTCATGGTTTCATAGCTAGTTTCTTTATAATGCTGGATGTACCACAGTTTTTTTAACCATTTACCTGCTAAAGGACATCTTGGTTGCTTCCAAGTTTTGGCAGTTATGATGGAGCTGCTAGAAATATATGTGTCCAGGTTTTAGTGTAGTCATATGTTTTTAACTCATTTGAATAAGTTCCAAGGAGTGCAATTGCTAAATTGAATGGCAATTTTGGTTTGTTTTTATAGAGAGGGTCTCTCTCTGTTGCCCAGACTAGAGTGCAGTGTCATGATCATAGCTCACTAAATCTTCAAACTTCTGCCTCAGAAGTGATCTTACTGCCTCAGTCTCCCAAAGAGCTGGAGTTACAGCCATGAGCCATACTGCCCAGCCCTCTTTAGTTTTACAAGAAACTCCAAACTGTAGTCCACTGCATTCCTTCCAGCAAAGAATGAGAGTTCTTGTTTCTCTACAACCTTGATAGCGTTTGGCAGTGTTAGTGTTTTGGGTTTTGGCTATTCTAATAGATATGTAGAGGTATCCCATTGTTTATAAATTTGTAATTCCCTAATGATGTATACTATTGAAGATTTTTTCTTTCTTTCTTTCTTTCTTTTTTTTTTTTTTTTGAAGATCTTTTCATATGTTTATTTGCCCAATGTATATCTTCTTTGGTGAAGAAAGAAAAAACCCTTAAGGTTTTTGGCCTATTTTATAATTGGGTTATTTGTTCTCTTATTGTTGAGTTTTCAGTTATCAGTTGCATATTATTTGCATATTTTTGAATAACAGTCTTTTATTAAATGTCTTTGCAAATATTTTCTCCCTGTCTGTGGCTTATCCTTAATTTCTTGACAGTTTCTTTCCCAGAGCAGTTTTTAATTTTAATGAAGTCCAACTTTTTTTCAATTCTTTCTTTCATCATAATTTTGTCTGTCATACCCAAGGTCATCTAGGTTTTCTTCTATATTGTCATTTAAGAATTTTATCACTTTGTGTTTTACATTTAGGTCTATCATCCATTTTGAGTTAATTTTTGAAGGGTGTAAAGTGTGTGTCTAGATCCGTTGTTTTACATGTGGATATCCAATTGTTAAATTGTTTTGCTCCATTGTATTGCCTTTGCTCCTTTGTTGAACAATAGTTGACTTTACTTATATGGATATTTGTCTGGGCTCTCTGTTTTGTTCCATTTACCTATTTGTCTATTCTTTCACGAGTACCATAAATACCTTGAATACTGTAGTTTTTTAGTAAATTTTGAAGACAAATGATTATCAGTTCTCTGACTTTGTTCTACTCTTTCTTTTCTTTTTTTTTTTTTTTTT